AAAAAAACCCCAAAATACTCCTGTCACGGGTTTAAAACTGATAGCTCTGTGGCAGATACTTTTGTTTCTTTAGTTTGGTTTTAACACTGGTCTGCTGCCATTTTCTCCCTATTATTGGGACTAAACCAGAGTCGCTGCAGATGAGAAGGTGCATGCAGAGGTGGTTTCTTCCATGAGGTTTGACTGTGTTAGACTACAAAGCGTTGAAGATGAGGATCTAATGTCTGTCGTCTTGGAGCAGATGGCTCTGGTTTCCAACACCTCAGCACAAACTGAAGAATAAATCAAGATACTTGCTCTTTCTTGAAAATTACAAATGGGGGAGCAGTGAGGTCACCACTCTCAAAACACTTCAGGAGTAAAAGTGTGTTCTCAAAACTGTGGGGTAGGAGCAGTTGCTGCTCCCAGCGTCATCTGACGGGTGCCACTTGCTTTCCTGTTGACGTTGTGTGGGGTCATACAGTCTGGGTTTGAACTTGAATAACATTGAGCTATTACTGTAGCTTTTGAATTTCTAATCACTGAAATTCATTGCCTTTTTGATAATTTTGAGTCTGTACACAATACAGGAACATAAATTTCTTGCAGTGATAAAGTAATATTCATAACTGGCAAAAAGGTGGTGGATAAGGAGGAATGTCAGGGTTAGAGAGCTAGAAATTCAGCAACCCTGTTCAGAAATAATTTGTGGTGAAATGAGGGGTTTGAAGCTGAGGAGCTAATAGGCATTTATTTGTCTGATGCTGTGATGATTTTACGTCTGGAAAAAAATAAATATGCTTGCTCAATCTGAGTGGCCTCAGAACGGAGGTATTTCAGAAAGTGCGTTCTCGTGTGCAGGGACAGATGTTCACAGATACGCAGGCTCAAGTTTCCTGTGTGCTGCTTCGTTCTTGCTGTGGTTCAAACACAGTGTGTGCTATACCCAGAGTGTGATGGCTTACTCTGCTGCCCTTAGTGGAACCCGAGGCCACAAATCTGACGACTGCCAAGACAGAAAGCTCTGCGGAAAGTACTGCAAAAATGAACAAGTACTGGCAGTTTTCGATACTCTTGCTAGGTGTTCCAGCACCTTCCATGTCTGTCAATTAGTAACATGCTCAGGATTTCCTTGAAAAGTGGTTCAGAACTCTGAGTATGTGAACAAAACACATAGCTCCGTACGCAGCTAGCAGGCACTCTGTATTCACTGTAGGACATAAAACTCTAGCAAGTGGGGTTGCTCAATTATTTGTTCTGGAGTTCATCCTGGATTTTCTAGAGGTAGTAGTTGTCAGACTAGAGAAAGGAAATTTAGGAGGTTAAAACAGATTCTTTAAAAGCTAGGTTGGCTGAATGTCTGGTTCCCGAAATAATTTTCTGTGTATTGTCAGTGAGAATAGCAGTTATAGGTGGGTCTGTTGAGAGATGTTGGAATGGCTTGTGTGGCAGTACTAACGTGTTGAGTATGGTTTGGGAAACTGCTTTAAGTGTTTTGCCATGTACTGTCAAAGTCCTGTTTGATGCATGCTCTGTCCAGAGGTTTGCTACTGAGAGCTAAATGTCATGTGGCCTAAATCACTTGTTCAACAAGTCAGCAGCTGTTGGTAGAGGTTGGGTTTTTTTTTGTCTTGTTGGTGTGCTCTGCAGTCTGTTTCAGTGAGTGTGACTATGGCAGCATTTCACAAATACTCAGATCTTCTGGGGAGTGAGATATATTAGATATACTGTGGTTCAGTTCTTGTCTTCCAAACAAAGTTACTTTATAAATTGTTTTCTGCATATATGAATTACTTTAAAAGGTATAATCATTCCTTGGGAGTATAAACTCATGTGCATATTGACATACAGAAAAGGTTTGGGTTTTTCATTCTGTAGGTGGTGTTAACGTCTAACCTAAAAATATTTCCTTTTTCTTCTCCTTTTAAATCTAATTGCATTTATGTTAACCTTAGTGCTTCAGTAAATACTGGAAACGGCAGGATTTGGAAGATAGGGGGTTATACAGTGCAATGTGAAGGCAGTACCTTTGGGAAATCTAAAGTAAGCAGCCAAATAATCCAAATTCTAATTTAGTGGATAAAGCAAATATGTAGTATTTAAAATTACAGTAGATAAGAAGGCAGTCTGACACCAGAAGCAAAGAAGAAACAGCTCAATGCCTTAAGCACCTGATGGTTTTAGTCATTCTTGTCATCTTGTTTTTAAATCTGTACATAAAATATATTGCTGCAGAATTTGTATTGTTATTTTAAGCATAATGGCAAAAGAGCAAAATGGCTACTGGATGAAGAAACTTGCTAGCATTTCCTTTTAGAAAAGGAAGGAACTGTTTTTGTAAAACTTAACATTCTGGTTTGAACTAGAGCATAGAAAGAAAAAAATCTGGCTTGACTGTTAGTTGCATGATAATTCCCTTGTGAAAGAAGAAACTACTTGAGAAATTATTTTGTATATTGTAAGAACAAGAGAGTCACAGCCTGGATTCTGACTGAAAATGTTTTTCAGTGAAATAACTGATACACACATCCATCCCCAGCTTTTTCAACCCTGTTGAACACACTGAGTCAATTACATTTTAACAAAACTGTAAATGGAAGCTGTTAGTTTTGGTTAGATGAGAGAGTCAGCCATGTAGCACAGTGCTGTGAATAAAGCTTGTTAGTAACTGCTTCATTGTCCCCAGGTGTGTGTTGGGTACTAGAGGTGTCAGAACTGTGTGCCCAGCTCTTGGGCTGTACCGTGAGATCCTGTGCAACACACAGGAGCGAAGGTGGGAACCTGGGTGTTCCTCGCAGGATAGAAGTGAGCTTGGTGTGGCCGTCAGGCAAACCCAAACCGGGTGTCAGTCCAAGCCCTCGCTGGTGCAAGCATAAAAAGCAGCTGGCTTTGCCATGGTTCTAGTCCCCATCGGAAGGTTGGTGCCCACCTTGTGTTCAGCCTGGAGTGACAGTAATACAGCCTCACCTGGAAGTGCCGCATACACATTTTTGGTAGCTGCTCTGTGTCTGCAAAGAGGTGAATTATCGTCGCTGTTATTAGTGTTGCATATTCAATTACACGTTAAGGCAGCGTGGCTGCCGTGTCATCGTTGTCCTAGAGAAAAAGACATCTCAAGAGCAAATATGCTTTCCCCAGCTGAGACCAAGTGTTTCACTTTTCCTCCTACTCATTCTCTTCAAAGAGCCATCCGACAGTTACACTCCTGAAAACATCTCTGTGCTGTGGCGGGGCTCTGACATAGGCAGAAATTTGCTTTGCATAAGTGAGTGTGGTAACAATGGCACTGTGCAGGCTTATCTGGTCTGCCTGCTTTTGCCAGGTGTTTTGTTTATGATGCAAAGTTTTCACCTCTCCCAGTATTTCCAAACCAACCACCCCACAAAAGAGTCATCAGTGAATTGTTGTCTTACCTTTAGTTGTTAGATAGTAAATAGCAAGGATGAAGGTGTCTGAGTAAAAGTAATAACGTTCCTTCCCCTGGAGAAACTAGGCTGATGGATCCCATTTGAGCAGTAAACAAGGAACACACGTCTCAAACTTAGGTTAAAGGAGTAGTTTTTTTTGCCTGAATTGCAACACTAGAAGTTAGAAGGGGCTGAATGTGGAGCTTCAGTGGTACTAAAGAAAAAGACATTCTCTAAGGATAGGTTTGATACAGAGGAAAGTATTGCTAACAACAACAAAATAAAATAAAAGCTCTCCTGTATTCCTATTACAGTGTGTGCTTTGTTGGCATTATTTGTGGGGAAGGTGCTGATGGAGAGAGGCGGTTTCTGGTGAAACCATGGGGGGAGCACTTGGGGACACCTTTTTCAATGCCCAAATGTCAGTGACCATCAAGCTTAATTCTTGGTGGCATTTATGAGTCCACATTACGGTTTTGGCCCTGACTGGGTGGAGGGAGGGAGTATTTCAAACCAAGACACATTTGGAACAGCCAGCAGTCAAGATTCTTGTCCCTGCATCTCTATTTCCATGTAGTTACGTTAGCCGATTACCTTGCGATCTCCCCGTCGGGACTCTTATTTTGTCCATTTCCCTATGTATGCCTCAAACCACACTCAGGAGACAAAAACCCCCCGAAACCCCATATCTCTGTTGGGGCTGTTGGCAAGCTCCAAGTCCCACTTCAGGTCACGTAAGGAACTGGCACCCTTGAGGACAGGAAAGAAGAGATGGTCACCTCATGTAATCTTGCCTGCAGCTTGGACAGGAGCAAACTTTTCTCTCTCCTAGTCCCTGATTTACACAGACTTTACAGGAACCTAGTTGTCTTGGAGATGATGTGTAGGGTTGTCTCATGCTGTGAAAGCTGGGGAGAGGAAAGACTGGGGACTAACAGGGTGTCACGCACTCCTTTCCCTTTTGAAACTACATTGAATGTCGGTATTGCCACATGCATCTGACTGCCTGGTAAAATCCTTAGTACAGTGGGTCAGTCTTGGAGCACCTCTTCAAAAGGCACCTGAAGGGGTGTGCTTGTCAACGAGGTGCTTCTGCTTCCTGGTGTACCGAATCTGTGCAGCAGACTGTGCGGTAGCAGATCAGAGTTGGCCGAGGCCTGCTGCTGTAAAATTGTACCCAAGATCTGAAGTGAATTATCTGAAATTGCTAAAAGCTTCTCTTTTGCCTATGCTGACTGTTTTTGCGACTACAGCAATAAGTTGACAAACTATCAAAGCAGAAACGTTGCAAGAAATAGGTAGCCTGCTTCAAAAAAACCCCCAACTAAAGTCTTTCAGCCTGTGCCCATTGGTCCCTCTTCCAGGCCCCAAAAATACTAGTATTGTACTTTTAGACATCCTGTGCTTGAGGAGTAAAGCTACAAGGTGTAACTATTAATCAATTTTGAGTATTGTTTGAAATATTAGATATTATTTTAGCTAATTTCCCTCAGTAAGTACAAAATATATATTTGCACCAGCTCTTCGTATGTGTGGTTATGGTATGTGTGGAATAAGTGTTGACTTTAAGAGTGTATTTCAAGTTCTATTTTGCATTTTTCTTCGGACCTGCAGGTTCCCCTGGAAAACAAGCGGATAACTCGGCCAGCAATCAAGGAAATAACTTAGGGACCCCAGCTAAGGCTGGAAAACTGAGCCATGCTTTTAGAGATCCCCGGCCAGGGAGGAAGACTGCAGAGGGACAAGTGACAAAAGGTGGCGATGAGTCGGAGAGTGATTTCGAATCGGATCCTCCTTCTCCCAAGAGCAGTGAGGAAGAAGAAGAGCAGGAGGATGAAGAAGTCTTGCAGGGAGAGAATGGAGACTTCAATGATGACAATGATACAGAGCCAGAGAATTTAGGCCACCGACCTCTCCTCATGGACTCTGAGGAAGAGGTGGAGGAAGAGGAGGAAGAGAAGCAAAGTTCTGACTCCGATTCTGATCGTACCAAGCAAAAATCTGTGGAAGGGCTCCTGAGCAGTAGGTTCAGAGATGGTGTGGGCAGCAGTGAAATCAAAGAACCCAGTTCAGTGCATACGTCCTTGTCCGAGGTGCCAAGTACGCTAATCAAGGTGAACCCTGGCCAAGAATTTGACGTGTTTGGGGCAGTGCCCTTTTTCACTCTGCAGCCTCAGACAAGAGAGAAGCTGGACAAAGATGTCTCTCCACAGTCGGCTTTTCCTGGCCTGAACCAAGAGCCGGATGACTTTGACGTTTTTACAAAAGCCCCCTTCAGTAAAAAGGTGTCTCAGCAAGATGGCCAGGTTGTGGGAACTGAGCCTCTCCTCTCCCCCACCTCTCCACGGAGCGTCGATATTTTTGGCTGCACCCCATTTCAGCCTTCTCTTCTCCCCAAGTCCGGTGGGAGTAAGGAGGACTTGTTTGGACTCGTTCCTTTTGAAGAGATCACAGGGAGTCAGCAGCAGCAGCAACAGAAGGTGAAGCAGCAGCGTAACCTGCAGAAACTGTCTTCCCGCCAAAGGCGCATGAAACAGGAGGTCTCGAAGAACAACGGGAAGCGCCACCATGGCACCCCCACCACCACAAAGAAGCCGTTGAAGCCAAGCTACCGCACCCCGGAGAGAGCCCGCAGGCATAAGAAAGCAGGCCGCAGAGACTCGCAGAGCAGCAACGAGTTCCTGACTATCTCGGACTCCAAAGAGAACATAAGCGTTGCGTTGACTGACAGCAAAGATCGAACCAACCCTCTGCAGACAGACGAGAATCTGCTGGATCCTTTCGGAGCCAAACCTTTCCACCCACCGGACTTGATGCGGCATCCCCAGCACCAAGGGTTTGGCGACAGCCGTGGGGATCACGGCACAGTAGTAGTGGCTGGTAGACCGAGGCAGAGCTCCTTGCATGGAGCCATTCACGGTGGTGACGGGCTGAAAACAGATGACTTTGGTGCAGTCCCCTTCACAGAACTGGTTGTGCAGGGTGCACAGAGCCAGCAGCAACAGGCGCTAGAGTTAGATCCCTTTGGAGCAGCTCCGTTTCCTTCTAAACAGTAAATGCTTCCAATGGGTTCCCCCCTCCACCTCTCCGAGTTAATTAATAGAGGTTTTCATTAGTGGAGTAATTTATCTGGTTGAATTGACAGGGACCTGGGCTGTACAGTTTACTGAAGTTCAAGAAGGCATGGCCAGCTTGCACAATGACGTTTAGAATGATGGCAGATTTTTGTTATTGTTGTTGTTTTTTTTTTTTTTTTCTTTTGAGCAAAATAGAAAAAACAAACCAGGAACATCATTCTGTTATGGCAGATGGCTCCTAGAATGAAAAATCAGATATGAATCGTTGTCTGTCACTGACTTTGGGCCCTGGAACATTCTGTCATTCTGCACTTTTTTGTTGCCTTTTCAGTCCTCTGGGATGTGCTGAGATGGAGGGAGGGCGACGCGCAGAGATCACATAAAAGACATTTTCCATACGTCTAGGTAGGCAAATGGAATTGTGCTGGTTCTTCATGTCTCAGTTGCGGTAGACCTAAGAACCAAAATGTGCTAATATCCAGACTGATCTGCTGGAAATAGTGAAGTCTTTGCTTCCTAGCTGAAAACTACCTTTATTAATCATAAAAATCAAGAAGCCAAGTCCTCAAGGGGCTGTCGCCCACAATTCCGGAGCATGGCTATGTGCTTGGGACCTGGTGGATGTCTATGCAGCTGCAGAGATGAAACACAGATTATTTTTTTGCGTGCCTAAATGTTCAATTTTTTTTTTTTTTTTTTTTTTTACAGTAAGTGCCATTAATGTAAAATAGCAAACTGGAAGTTTAGAGTTAAAACTAAAGATACAGAGAATATAGTCATTTGTGAGACAAAAAGCATGAATGTAGGGGAGTAAACCAGCAGGGATGCAGCCAGTGTTTGCAGCACTTTGAAGACTACTCAGTACGCTGGGAGGAGAGGCTGGTTTACATGAGGAAAGCATCTGGCACGTGCAGAGTATTTCAGATGATTTGTACAGTTGACTGAGATGCAACCACCAGATTTATTTGATTAGAAATTGGGATTTGTTTCTGAAAATACCTTTTCTTTTCCTCTTGGATTTTTACCGCAAAGAAAACGTGTATTCTTTCAAACCTGTTTTTTAAAACAATAATAATTTTATGAAATGACTGTAACCTAATGTTCTCTTAAGTTCTGATGAATCTATTATTGTACTTGAGTGTATTTTATAAGAAAGTTTTGCTAAATGCACTGAGCTTTGAAGAAACTTCTCTGAACCCGGATTTGTTCCAGAACAGCAGCAGGTCGCTTGCAGAAGCTGATTGCTACTGTGCCAGTAAACTGCATTTCGCACCACAAAGCCTTACGGGCAGGACTCGTGTCCTGCTGCACAGTACCTCTGAGCCCGGTAGGTGGTAGGAAGAGTATGCGAGCAGACTCGTTGGGGACAAGATGTAGTTGCAGAAGCAGGTGCTGTGTGTAGGTGGGACGGGTTCTCCGCTGCCTCGTGACTGGTGCCCGGCCGTGTACACCGTCCGCAGAGCGAGTGTGACTTCGGGACGTTCCGATTTGGCTTGCTTTTTTTGCCATGGCAGTCCTGAAGAGGTGGAAGGAGGCAGTTCCTCTGCTTGTCTCAACTTTATATCCTGATCTGCGGAATGCTGAGGAGTAGACACTTGAATGTTTTTATAAGGAGGACATAGGCATTTGTTGTTGTGTGTGTCCCCCAGTTTCACAGGAGGTGAAGTGAAATATTTAGGGTTGTGCTTGTTTTTGTTTTTTTTTTTTTCCCCAAAGTCTCCTGCTGGTTATACAGTTGTCCTGAGATGGGTGAGGATGGGGGGTGGATCCCTTATGATACTTGGTGAAAACAGCACATTAAAAACAAGCCACCTGACTGCTTTGTGGGTTGGTTTGATAAAAGGCTCCCTCGGATATATGTGAGACTGCTTCCCCTGGTCCTGGAATCGGAAAGTAACTCACACGTGTCTGTACACCTTCATTACCTTTATCTTCCTTGTTTTCATTTTTCTCGCAGGGTGACAGTGAAATATTACAGCTATGCTTGGTTAATTACGCCTTTTTCAGGCTTAGAAATTAAACTTTTAGGAGGTAGAAATGTTTCAACTCTATTTGCACAGGAGTTTCCTAGGCTTTATTGCTACTGTTCTCAGCTGGGTTTTTTATGCCAAAGGCTGTAAGAAGTGCACGCCAAGTTTTGTAGCATTTCCTGATACTCAGGTTAATTTTTTTTTTTTCCTCTGCGTGTGCTTGTGAACTGCCTTCCTACAGTTTCCTTCTGAACTGTTACTTACCTGTCTAAAGAACCATTGATATGTCAGATTGATATGACAAATGGGGCAGGTGGGTGGAAACAAAACAAGAATAAAACAACAGGCAACTGACCCATGGTCTTAAATGTGGCGAGACCTTGCTGAAGCCATGCAGGTGCTGGTGGAAAAGCAACTTCAGGGCTTGCTCGGCAGTTTGGTGCCAGAGGAAAGGGTTAACAAGGCGTCTGGGACTGGGGCTGGGCTCCACTGCCTGGAAGGAGAGGTGGTTGGAAGTTGGTTGTGGAGGGAAAAGGCTGTGCATCAGCAGACTTAGTGTGGGCCCAGACATTCAGGTAAATGAAGAATAGAGGGAAGCGTGTTGGGTTTTTGTCCGTTTACCCCGAGACTTCAGGCTGAGGAGCGCTACAGGTTTTCCTTGTGTGGTGGGTTGGTTTGTTTTTTGACAGAGGGTCCGTAAGTGGTTATGTTATGGTACAGGAAAGCTGAAGTGAGGTTATACCCAGAAACTGAGAGACAAGAGAAAAGCAAACTATAAACCCAAGATACTCTAGAAGTGGCATAATGCCTCTGACTGCATATGAATTACGGCCGATAGTACTTGCTTTCTAATGGCCTTAATAAACCTTCTTTGTATTCTAGTTATGAAACAGGTTTTTGCATAAATGTAATTTCTTTGTTTCTCAAGTTAAAATTATTTTATCCTTTCTCGTGACTGAAAAGAGATATTAGTATGCCTTGCTGAGTTGACTTTGCGCGGCATATATTGTTTATACACAACTAAACCCAAGTTTGGGTTTAATTTCAGCTAAGATCCATTAATCAACTGAGACGAAATGTGGTACTGCCAGGGAACGTGATATCCTTTTGCCTTTATTTGGTGTGTGTGTGTGCGCCATGGAGCGTATCGTGACCTTACAGGAAATATGGGAAAGACCTTGTTGCACTAGAAGCATACCATACTGTCTGTGATGACAATAATGGCAAGGTAAGGTGCTGACAATTGCCTTCCGACTGAAAATATCGATTGATTTTTACAGCTTTACTTTCAGCACGTTGAATGACTGAACCACAGGCCTTTTAGAATCATCTGCTTGAGAGGGAGATTCTGTCCGAAGGTACTAAGAAGCCTTTAACGGTTGCGGTCATTGAAAGAAAAATAAGCTAGTCGTGTTTCTCTGCAGACTCTGAAACAGCCTTGAGTTGTGCACAGTTGCTTTGGCTGACCTGTGTAATGTGGGACCTGTGGATAGCAGCTTTGGAGGAAATAACTGTTAATCATTCTGGGCGTCCCAGTTAGTAAAACCAAGTACTGTGAAAATAAGTTGATATATTTGCTACTGTGAGAATAAGAGTTTATCTGGAGTTTTTTATACTATATCGTGTATTTTTATATATGGAGAGTATATATAAAACATACACATGCTCGCACACATCATGTATCTCTTGGAGTTGCTGTGTTTTTAGTAACACAGCAACCACAATCACTTTCGTGTCACTTGAGGGAATGAATATGAGTGAAAGCTGCAAAAGAGAAAAAAAAGCGCAAAGGATGGCTGCTCTGTTACTTTTCCATAGGGCTTACTTTGAAAGGAAAACCAAGGAAATTGTGTGTGTAGCTAAATTTGTGACTAAGGCATCACCTAATATTAAAGAGCATAAAAAACGTTTTAAAAATTGCTGGCATTCAGCTTTTAAGTGCACTTTCCTGAACTACACTCCCATTTCTTGTTCTACTTCAAGTTTCTAAAGCTTTTTTGTGTACCACTAAACAGAGAACTTTTAACTTTTTTGTGAAACTGATGTATGTTATAAAATACTTGCAGTTGTTAAATAAACAAACATAATAACAGTGACTTTGTAGATCTCCTTAAACATTGCATTATTAAGTGTTCACATTTAGGCTCTAATTAACTATCAGCAATGCTGCTGCTTCAGATTGCTTTTCGTGGCTGTAGGCTCCTGTCACTCTTCTAAAAATGTTTTAAAATATTTGTATTTGCTGCCCAGTCGTCTTTGTCCAGCTTGTTAAAAACCTGTTGATCATGCACTATTTTTACCTCCTTAGGTTCAGCATTACGCTCCAAACCCTTCCCGCGTAAGTGCTGAAAGGCTGTGTTCCAATTCCTAGGTGGTAACTGAAGCTTGGTCCCTTTTCTACAGCCCAAACATTAAGCACACACTGTACTGCTCCGTCTGTGGCCTTAGTTCTACACCTAATCTTCTAGACATAATTCTAATGTGATTCGACCGCCTGCTAGCAGTTGTTTACCTGAGCGGTTGTTCTGAATGCTGCTGATACTGATTTTAGTCTGAGGTAAGCTGAAGTAAGAGTGAAAACGGTCAAGAAAAGACAAAGTGGCAGCAGCACTCAGTTACTAAATAGTAGCTCATGTTCTGTCTTCTGCCTGTTGCCTGTTTCAGCCTAATTTTGTTACAAGCAAATCCACAAGGAAAACAGAGTTTAAATTGAGGCTTCAGCTTCAGCAAAAATGAACAACCCTGGCTGTTAAATACTTGCTTTAGTTTTTCATGGAGAAAGGAGGCCTTTCAGTCTGCACCGTGCCTGCAGTGCCAAGGCTCAGCCAAGTGCAGGTGGAAGAGGACCGTGGGGCAATCCTGAGGGTTACTGGTGGTGACCGTTCTGTGACACACTGGCCACGTGCTGTGGGACAGGATGGGGATGGGCGCTCATAACCGAGGGCGTGAAGTTGTCCCTGCTGCTGGTGCAGCTGCCTGCTGCAGGCTCTGGGCACAGGCAGGCCACGCCTGTGGGCACAGCTTTACTGCCCGTGCCATCTCTCACAGAGGGTTGGGTTGGTTTGCAGCCCCTGCACTCACCAGAGCTGTTAAAAAAAATGTTCTGGATATGGTTTTTGGTTTTGTTTTTGGGGTGGTAAGTGCTAGCACTTGCTTTCTCAGCGCTGGTTTTTGCATGCGGTTGAACTACTTCTGTTAGGGCAAAAGCACACTTGTGAAGTTGTTGGAGCTGAAGCCGAGTCAGGGTGAACTTTTCCTCCTCCTGCTTAGGACACAGCAAAGGGCCAGAGCTCTTGTGATACAACCGAGGCCCTGCTGGGAAATGACCTCGATCTAAAGGCAGCAGGCTGCAAACCTGAGCTCACCAGCAGATTGAGCTAGAGCTGCTCCTCCCACCAGGTATATAGAACACTCCGTCCTACACACACTACTGGCATAACGCAGTGTGAACACTGTCCCTGCTCGTCCCTTGATAATTCAAGAGACAGTCTCCCCGTATATTTAAAGCCCAGGGGAGGTGGCACAAGCTGCATGGTTAAGCAATTCACATCTGTTGTTTCACTATGCGAGATGCAAGAATGATGTTACTCCAAGTAAACATCCAATGAACCGAAATTTATTTACAGGTTCAGTATGTACATAAAAGAAGATCATGCAGCTTGATAAATTTTGTCAGGGTAATAAAAATGCACAGCTTTGCAGTCAGTTTCCTTAACCAGTGAAAACTGCTACAGTAGTTGAGAGGTTACATAAAAAAAATACATTAGCAAACTGTAAAGTCAGTATGCTTTCAATACACAAAGACACATTCTTCAAATATTATTGTTTACATAACACTGGAAACAGGCTTTTATACTTGCAGGTTCCTTGTCAGGCTTCAGTAGTAGTAATTAGTGCACTTGAAACTTGCTTGGCTGTCAAGTTTAAAAAAAATAATTCAGTGTTTACATTGAAAGGCTCAAAGGTCTGGGAATAGAATCTTAAATGCCCCCACTTGTTTCTGGAGTTGAAAAACATAAAAACAAGAGGAATGCACTGAACTAAACAGTATTACTCTCCAGCCTAGCAGTGGAGAAGGTAGCATCCTGCTTTCTCCATCCCAGAGGAGTGTTCAGGTGCCCGACAGTGGATTTCCATCAATATTCCACAGGTCCTTGGCACACGCCCGCTGAGAAAGGCAAAGGAAGCTGAGCTTGTTCTGCCCAGGGAGAAGGCAGTGCTGGGGGGACCCGAGAGCAGGCTGCCCACCCTGAGGGGGGCACTGCCACCAGCCAGCCTCGCCCCCTCTGTGGAAGGTAAATACCAGCACAGGAAAACCCTCCCCGAGAGGAGCGAGGCAATGGCAGAGTGTGGGCAAGGCCGAGGGTTCATTAAGGGCTTCTTGAGTATTACAGGGCTCTTGGCACAGTCGCCTAAGGTCTGATTCCCCGCTGCTGGGCCATGCTCTCCCCTCCTTGGCTGTGGGGGTGAGACAACACGTTTGAAATCTTCAAGGCCCCTGCCTGTGTGTTTTAAGCTGGCTGTTGTCAGATGGCCACAAAACAGAAGATGCAGGGATGCTATCGAAGGCCACAGTGCAGGTAACAAGGGGAGGTGTAGTGAGGGCAGCCAGGACAGCTTTTATTCCCAGAACAGAATGTTTTCTGCCTGTAGTCACAGCAGAAATAGGAACTAGCTATCTCCCACTTACTAGCCATGCCGATGCCCTCACGTCCTGCAACAGCTCTGGTCCCAAACTTTAACCACTTGGGATTAACTTGTAACAGCATCTTGAGGCAAGCAGAGGAATCTCCAAAGGGCTAATGCTGACTAACACTGGATGGTGCAGAGCAGCAGCATTTGCTACCACTGCTCACCTGAACTGTAAACAAAAGCACAGCTGCTGTATAGAAGTCACTTAAAAATGTTGATTCTAACACAAAAATCCAAGTAATTCCACTCCTGTTTGAAAAACTGGCACTCACTGAGGTTAATCCTGCTGAGCTACAGCTATCTAATAACCTGCGTATTTTATGTCTCCCTAGCGTTGAATTTAGAAGAGATGATTTCATGACTGATTTTAAAACCCAAGGCAACCTTTTTACTGTGGAAAGCTTATGGCGATAAGTCTTTTTCAGCAACAAAGTCTGTAAGTACAGCATACTACATCACATGTTAAAAGGCCGAAGTTCAGTGATCTGAATTCCCAGTAGGTTCACCATTTCGGGTATGCTATTCCATCCCGTTAAACAAATGCAACAAAAAAAATCATGAGGAACTCCACTGATTGCAATATATTAACAAATATGAACACCCTTAGTGCTGCTCCTGAAATACTTCAGAATACTAATTCCAAAATTACCAAGGAGATCTAGAGAAATTTCTTGAAGAAATGGCACTATCCAAATTGGGGGAGGCAATGTGGCTGACATGATCCAGAAAAAGGAAAAGAGCTTGTTCACAAAAGTACAAGAGTCCACTGAATTAAGTTTCATACGTTACCAACCCGATGCTGAAGCACATGTCATTCAGACCAAGATGCTGAAGGATGCAACACACCTTACCGTCGTGACTTAAATCCAAGAGCAGGTCCCACGCTTACCATGGCTTCACAAGCATGCTGTCAGGAGCAGTTTCTCAATTATACTCCTGAACAAAACCTGAAAACCTAGTATACGGGCCTGGTAGCTCAGCAAGGGTTATTACATGTGTTGTTCATGTTTACTGAAAAAAATGCTGCTGTGATCCAAATGCAGAGCCTTACAGCCCACCTTTCTACTGTCTCACTCAAGGAAGACCTGTTTTGTACTTGATTGCAGAACAGGGAAGTCATGTCAGATCCTGGGCAACGCTGTTGTTTCTTTCGGAACTCCTCATAATATACTGACCCAGCCAATGGGTAGCAGTCCAGAAGTGAGAAAAGGAACTGCCTCAGTGCTTAACTTCATATCTCAGCTCATTAGGTAAGGTCCAGAGCCTCGACGTCAGGAATTTCATTGCAGTGCCTCTGAAATACAGTGGGGAAACAAGTTTAGTCACTCACTTTGCACGTGAAATGATCAACTCTTACCTGATTTCCAAAAAATCCAGATCAATGTTTAGTAGGATAAGGAAAAGGCTACTTTGGAACAAATACTAATGGCAGCTGGAGGCTGTTCAAATTGTGAAACAGAGCTGAAAGGCATCTGACACACCTCTGTCCAGCCCGCTCCATAACTCTGCTCCAGGGCCCTGCAGCCTTGTGGGGCCTCATGCCATCCAGCAGCAAAGGAGCAGCCTGCCTGGCAGCAAGATCACTCCTTAATACAAGCAAGTATTACACCAACCAGCATTTCCTTTGGGGAGGTTAATAAGGGAGGCTGACTGAAACTTGTGACAAGTTAAAAGCAGGATCATTTAACCCTATACTTGTTCGAACATCCTATTCCCACGAGTATGAAAACTGCTTTACCTTCACTCACAAGTCTGCGCTGTACTCAGGACAGGGCTTGCTGTGTCGATATTGCATGATGTACACGGTGGATTGATGCCACCAGTACAGCATCACCACGGCAAGGATATGCCAGACTTGGTGACTCGAGCCGAGGTAGTTCAACTGTCCTGTGGGGAAGAAAAGGGGCACGTGGTTAAGGTGTTAAATCCCACAATAACTGATGCAATGCAACTAGCAATCACTGTCCTCCAAAGCTCAACTATACATGCCACTTGCTGGGAGGCAGTGGAAGTTCTTTAACAAACTCGATGAGAAGCTGTCTGCCTTCTTTTGATGCAAATATACGCAGCGGTTTACTCTATATGAGAATACTTGATGTAGAACATGGTCAACCTGTTCTCTCACAGGAGGTTCAGGACTCACAGCAAGGACTGTGACACTGCAGGGAACTTGACTGCAGAAAAAAAAAAAAAACACCCAGAAGAGAATTTCCTACCTGGGAAGTATCTTTCTGGAACTTTGGAAATATAGAAGAGAAAAGCTACAGCAGCGATGAAGTACATGACAACTACACGTGGAGCAAACTCCTGCAAAAGAAAAGGAAGCTCTCCTATTCTGTTAGAAGGTAAAAGCAGAAGAAGAAAAAAAAAAAAGTCCCTAAAGATAACAAAAAGGCATGACAAAACTGAATCTTACTTCACTATGTTATGCATGGACAAAATCCAACAGGGAAGCAAATGCCAAAGTTTGGGAAAATCTGAATGGCAATAAACTTATTTTATCACCACCTCTGCCTCAATACACAAGGTACTTTGTGTTTCTGTGCAGCCTGCAGCAGACGTGAAATCTGTCAGTAAAACAGTATCTTGCAATAGACTGATCTTACCCAGAAGGGGCATGATAAGTGAGGCTTCAGTGCAAAATCTCATTTACCAGTTGGGATTGCAGTCACTTTGACCCAAGGCCACAGGAGTACTTCATACTGGATGGCAGATAATGAAGCAACCCATTCACGAGTTACATTTTCTTTTTTTTTTTAACGAGAAGTTTTGTTACCAGAAGTGGAACATTTTTCTGATGTACGGAAACAAATTATGTACCACACATACCATTCTGCTGTGCCAGGAGAAACTAAATGGGGGTAAGACACGGGGGGACAACTACCCTTTATCTGATTTTTAGAAGGCAAGTGTTAAGTGCCTTGTCTAAAGACTACATATATTCATAAACGTTGCTCTTCCACATTCAACAGCAGCTCTGGACTGAGCTAAACCATCAGCCCAGGTGACTGTCCTCCAGCAGGGCCAGGGTAAGAACAGGCACTGTTACTGCTCACCATGAAAAGGAAATGTTTTCTTTAGCACAACTAGGTCCCTGGGTAATTGCAGTGCCTTCTGGGCTTTTCATACTGGGGCATACTTTACTGTCTTGGGCTGTACTGTGCTGCTTGTTTTTTGGAGCATAGTTCTAAGTGGTAAAACAAGAACAGGAAAACAGTTCAGTAACTTCACAGTGATGTTAAATGAGGGTTGCGTAAGACCTAGAGGGCTGAGTTGGCAAATACTGATTTTTGCTGCTGACCCAAAGAACAGAAGAAGCAGCAAGTAATCATCCCTTCAGCGTGTTCTGCTTCCCTCCCTCTCCTCTCGAGCTGTGGAGGCGGACAGCCCGGAGCACTCATGCAACCTGCCAGACAGCTTCCCCCTCACCAGCCAACTCAGCTCCTCGCTCCTGAGCTGAGCCAGGGCGCGGCCCACCCGCAGCAGCTCCTCTGTCCCTCAGGCAGATACACTGTCACACGTGGATCTGGTTTTCCTTCTCGTGGTGCAGGTCTACATCAGTAAAGCAGATTTAATCTGCTCAGAAATTTACTGAGAAGCAGCAAACCGGCTGAGTGTTTGCATTTGGATCGTAATGTCTGAGAGAATTCCATGCTTAAAGAACTATTAATTGCTGCTGCTTCCCCCTCATTTCCTGAAGCGTCAACGGACTGAAGGAAGATGGGAAGTGAAAAGCAAAAGGCAATCTCATTTTCTCCTTTTTTTTAGTTTTACCTGTACAATAGATGCACCAATGCCACCGTTGAGCCAAACCCAGTGGATGGTGGGAATAATTCCATATCCAGACACTGAGCAAAAGATGATGGAGCGCAGTCTGTGCCACTGTTGTGTGAGGTAACTGGGATGAATCTGAGCAAAAAATACTGCCAAGATCATTGCCAGCACAGTGATTAAATACACCTGACGCCAGTACTGAGAAAAAAAGAAACAAAAGCAAGTTTTATGGGTTTTCTCATCACGTGTAAAAGTAAACTCGGGGTAGAAAGTTTACATTACTAAATGTAATGATATATCAAATCTCCTGTCACTGCTGCAAATGCAAATGATGGAGTTTGACAGAATGGACTTGTATTTATCACCTGGCAGCGAGGGGAAGGCACTCTATTGCTCGGGTACACCTGGCAGAACATCATTTATTCCAAGCAGGGCCTTCACCAAACATTTTAAATATACCCCTGCCTCAGCAGACTCATTCAACTACCTGATCACTGCATCCACAGATGTAATCTAGGCCTTTGGAGGGACCTAATTTTACGTGTCCTCTATTAGATGAAGCAAAAATAAACTTGTTTCTGCCTTGTGTAACTACCTAGTGGGAAATTATGTTTTCATTATTTGTGATGGGGAGACATCCCATAATCAGCCTCACGCATGTGACAAAGGGAGGACCTGTAAAGTTTACCCTGCCTTCATATAAATTCAGATTTTTTTCTCAAGGCTTGTGTGATTCACAGCTTGAAAGGAAAAGCTCGATTTGTCTATCACTTCAGCAAGCACAGTTCTGCTGGTGTCAGAAGTAACTTGTTTCAGTCTCCATCTCTGTCTCCCAACTAATGTTCTATTTGGACACCCGGCAACGAACCCCCTTCCTGCAGCATGGAAACGACAACAGTGGGACCACAGGAGCCGAACATTACACAAACAAGTGCTTCAAACTTACGTTATTGCAGTAAAATGCATAAAACACGCCTGACACATAGCAGCCCAGGATACCGATGGAAATTCCTGCATAATCTAATGCCATCCATCGTCGGCTCGTCTTCTCTGAGCGGTGACAACAGAAGAGATGATATCCTACTGAGCAAAGCATACAGACCTACACAAATGTTCAAACAAGGATGCATTAATTTCTTAAAAATTAACAGAGAGAGTAGAGCAAGCTTGAACTCTGAGGCTTAGAGCATGCGATTGACCTGTTACATGTTTTGCAGTGCAACTTGCTGTAGGCAATTATGATTCCTGCCAGAAATCCACAGAAACTAAATTAAGTTTCTCTGGCAGGTACAGGAAGGAACAGAAAACTTCACAAGATGTGATAACCCCAAGTTGCACAGCTAAGAAAATTGGGCTGTTGAGGCCTATACTCTGAGGTCAAGCGAGGAGCCAGGACACAAGGGAGCAGGACCAGGTCTGCATGACTGCAGTGGGACCATGAATTCTCCTTGGCCAAAGTCCCATAAGAAGAAACCAAAGCCCAAATCTGCCCTGACTGCCTGGCACCCACGTTACTTCACTGAGGGAACACACAGGAAATTTAACTCCCACGCCACACAGGCCACTTACTTGCTCCTAAGCTGGCATCAATTTTTTTCCCTAGAAATGTTAGTGTTTCTCTGAAACCCTGAACAGGAGTAGGGAAGAGAAAAACAGCAGTGCTTTCCAAGCCAGCACAGGCGTCTTCCCCACTTGTAGCTATGCAAAGGCACCTCTTCAGGGGGATGCCTTTCAGCGAATATGAACAGTCCTGTTCAGCTCTTCACACCTTTTTAGGGACAGTATACTTTACACACTTGAAGTCTGCTGTCAAGAACAGATTTCATCCGACACATAAAGTGTTGCTTAGAGCAGGTAAGAAGTTAGAATACAAGGCCTGCCGCCCTTCCAGACCAGCAGCAGGCCATAGCTGGTTTTCATGTTCTGTGTGTGACCCTCTCCAGCAACAATTGCTGTTGCCTGGGAGCCCCGTTAGGTGCCACTGAACCCCAGAGGCCAGCTGAAGCTGTGAAATATGGCCTTGGACAGATTAGTTGTTTTTCCCAGACTCTCTCCTCTGCCAGCTACCATCAGTCCTCCCTGCTTTATTCCATATATTAAATGGGTCAGACCCACCCCACCCGCAGAGCTTGTCAGGGACCTTTAAAAGCAATGCAATTTAAAAACATGCTTTCCCAGGTCTGACCTTAGTCTGTCTTGCTCTGCCGTCCTACTGGCAGTGTGTGCCTGGAAGCGCTGCGAGTGGGCACTCCCGTTCTCCTTCTCAAAGGAGGCGCTCCCCCGAGCGAGCTCCCCAGCCCCCCGGGGCTCGGGCACCCGTGCCCGGGGCCGGCACCTAGACCCTACCTGGAAGCAGAAGAGGCAGACGGAGCAGATGACGAAATCCTCCCGGGAGGCGCCGGCCGCCGGCAGGACGGCCGTCAGGTCGTAGATGCCCAGCGTGAAGAAGAGGACGAAGCCGAGGAGGTGGCTCCAGATGTTGACCGTCTCGTTGGAGAGGATGAAGAGGCTGCGAGGAGACACAACAGGGAGGGGGGGGGGGGTTAGTGTGAGCCGGGGGTCGGCCCGCCGGGCCCGGGGCGGGGTGGCGGGGGGCTGCCCTCACCTCTTGAGGCAGAGACGGGAGGGCAGGTAGGCCCGGTAGCCGTCGGTGATGTAAGGGTTGTCCTTCAGGAAGACGGGGATCTGCTCGTAGGTGTAGAGGCGGATGCCGCGAGGCACCAGCACGGGCCAGTACTGGTAGCTCCCCAGCTCGATGTAGTGAGCGCTGCGCAGCAGCTTCTGGTGCATCCTGCCCGCCCCGCCGCCGCCGCCGCCGCATCCGGGCCGCGGGGCCTCCCGGGGCGGCCGGGCCGCTGCGGGCAGCGGGAGCGGCCGCGTCGCCAGGCGATGGCGTCACGGCGCCGCGCGGCGCGTCCGCGCCCGCCCGCCGGCGCCTGCGCGGTGCCGGCCGGCAGCACGCGGCGCCGGCGGCCGCGTGGAGGCGCCCTTCCCCCAGGGCGCGCGGGGCGGCCGTTAGCCCTCAGCGCGCTGCCGCCGCCCGCGCGCTCCTGTGGGCCGCGGTTGTTTTTTTTTTGGTTTTTTTTTTTTTTTTTGTGTGTGTGTTTTTTTTTTTTTTTTTATTATTTTGTTGTGTTTTGTTTTTGGTTTTTTGTGTCTTTTTTTTTTTTTTTTTTTTTTTTGGTGGTGGTGGTGTTGGTGTTGGTTGGGTTTTTTTCCCCTCGAAGAGTTTCGAATGAAACGAGTCTGAAAAAGTGGAGGTTTCAGCTTGGGGTGAAAGGCTGCCGGGGGCGCGCCTATGTGGTGTCTGTAAACGCCCCAGGCCGGGTGGGTGCAGTGCGAAAAGTGGCACTTTTTGGCGGTCATCAGTACAGGTATCGATAATTCTGCAGTTATAGCTGGTGTGGGATAAGATATGCAATAAAGTGTTACGTCTCTGTAGCGGCAGAGGGTTCTGTCTAAAAGGAAATGGTGCACACTGCTGATAAACTGCTGGGGAATAGGTGTTTCTTTGGGGGAATCTGCCATTTCTTTCAGACAGACCCGAAGGCAGCAAACTTTTCTAAAATAGAGGCCAGAAGCACACATGCGAACTTAAAAAGTGCTGAGGATTATCATCATTTGTGGGAATTGCATTTGCATCTGGCAAAAGCCACCTTTGGTTAATTGAGTTAAGCTTATTAGCATTTTCTATTCTTTCCTGTGTACTCAAGTAGCAACAAAAAATCTTGGTAGTGAATTCTTTTCCAAATAATTTGATTTGCCTAAGTAAGAAGAGTTGTGGGTTGTTGGCCAGTTGCTTTTATTTTTTTTTCTTAATTAAAAAAAAAAAAAAAAGGCAGAAATAATTCACTAGATATCATCTGGCTCTTGTTTTCAAAGTTGACAGCAAGTGTGCTGAATGGTAATCCTCATTCACCTGCCCCTCCCCTCCAGTAATGTGCTGTGCTGAATTCTTTTAAGGTCTTTTGTCTCATTAAACAAAATGTGAGAGCTTTTCTCCAAGATGGTGTGACAAGTATGAAAGATTTTCCCATGGCAGAGAGATTTGTATTGTGAAGTAAAAGATGCAGGGTGATGGGCATTTGAAATCAAGAATGACAGTAAAGACTAGGTGTTCAAACCCTAGCTATTGCAGGATAGCCAGCTGTGCTACATCACCCCCAGATTTCCATGTTACACCATTTGGCTACCCAAATTAAGTTGGTTTTTGTCAACAGCAGCTCTTGAATATTTTTATTAATCAATCATTCTCTGAGATTTCTTAATGACAGGGCTCTGAAAACTGTATTCCTCCTGTCTCTGCAGACACTTCCTCCATGCCTCTTGCTCCTTCTAAGCTGTTTTGTGTGCTGGATGTGTTTTTTTTCCTGCATATACTACAGGACTTTGGCAAGTTACCCAGAGGAATCCTGAACGTAGCAATAAAACAGCAGGGTTAGCTCTAAGAAACTTCCTCCTGTTCTCACCTTTCTGGGATGTATCTGAAACATGTCTCTGAATGGTTCATTCCTATTTTATTTAGTTTCTGTCTTCCTTTCCATATGGCTTCTCTGTTTCTGTTTTTTCCCTTCAGCTTGCTATTAATAAAATTTATAATAATAACTTAAGAAAGATACATAGGGAAAATGCATTCTGAAAGAAGATCCTTAGACATAGTTCTGCTGACAGGAGGGGAGAAAACCTGGGTTGTGCTGCTGGCTGTATTTAGGATGGAGCATAGGTTATTCCTTCTGCAAATGAAAGAGTGGCATTAGGTACACGGGGAAGCACGGTGTAATAAAACACCTTGCAGAGTGGTGCAGTGGTGAGAAGAGCTATGCTGGGTGATGGCTCAGCCAGTTTCACATGTAACAGGGTCACAGGTGGACTGAGAATTCAGATACCAGAGTTTCCCGGAAATCAACTCTTAGGAGACTACAAAGGTGTTATCTGGTAGCTTGCTCAAAAGGGAAGTAATTCATAGGCTGTCAATGTTTCTGTTAGGTTATGGAAGAACACTTCAGTTCCCAGCTGACTTCTATCAGATCTGCTAAAAATAGGAAACTGTCCTGTTTTGGTCAACTTAGAGCAAAAATCTGAAGCAGGCTAGTGGGGCCAAGCTAACAAGAATGATATCTACATAGTGGCAATGTTTTTTTCCTAACACGTGTCCCACTGGCTTTTTTCTTTGCAGTGCTCACTTGGACAACGAGGGAGATAATACATGTTTATGCAAACACGTATATTTAACGGAACAAGAATATAGCTGCCACGTTAATTCAGGTGAGCAAACTCCAACTGTCTCAAGGAGCCTCTCACTGCCACAGTGAAACTGAGCTGGGGAAGTCACACTCCTGCCGGCTCCTGCTGATAAATGAAGAGATTCATTGCTCACTGAGTGGGGACTGTCTTTCATCAAGCCAAACACTGCTTAGAAAGTTGCTACCAAGTTAAAACCTTAATTAGTCTTCATTGTCCATTGAATCATTAGCTCACTGAGAACATTATACCTGGAAAAAACACTTTGTTTCTAAGCCCTGTGCAATTTAAATGAAATCCCAAGTGCTTCAAAGAGTTCAGTCAGAAGGAATCTGAGCTGACAGCACTTTTTTTTTTTTTTTTTATAAAAGAAGCTTTAATTGGCTGTTAAGTTAAAGCTTTGCAGCTTTGATAGGAGAAGTGTTATAGGTTAAGTTAATAGGGAAAATTGAGAAACAATTAGGGCAGCTTTAAATTAATTACTCACACTATTTATTTTGAGCTTATTGAACAATTGTGTTGTATGCATAAGTGTTTGAAATTAGCCATCTGTGCAAGATAGCTTTGACCTAAATTGACCTTCTTGTGTAAGTAGTTTGCCCTAATTCCTATACTGTATCCCTAATTTTACTGATAGATCAGCTTAATTGGGAGTAAAGATGAATGTGCTCGAGAGGTTCCATACTTTTCTGTTGAAACTAAACTCACCTGTGCAGACAAAGGTAGAGAAGGCTTTCCAAGAGATGGCTGAGGAGGTTACAAGGGAGCTGAACTGTTTCTTGTTAACCCTCTGGGTGCCCGGCTGGGTTCCATTTGCTTCTGGTCAGCTGTGTGCCTGCACCATGCCCCGTTCTCACCGCTGCTCACCCTGCTCTAGGAGGGACCCTCAGAAGGAACAGCGAGTTGATTTGAACTAACTGCTGTAATCTCTGTAATACCGGCAGGGTCTTTTAATGCCCTGCTCCGTTCTGCTGTGTTTTTTTTTTCAGGGAGCGACAGGGGGCGAATGACTTGGAAGGAGAATTATCCAAACAGAATACCTCAAATGCTCCTGGCAAAATGGGAGCCAACAAAACCAAAACAAAACAATTGCTCACCTTTGAAATTGAAAGGGTGAAAATATTCTTGGTGCTGATTTTCGAGGCATTGAAACGTTCTCGCCCCCGCTGCTTTCCCTGTTTGTGGCAGCCCCAGGCCAGAACTGCTCCAGCTGGCCCAGGGGGGGCTGTGCGCAGCCGGGGGGCTGGGGGGCTGGGGAGGGGGTACACGGGACGCCCCGGCTCCTGCGCGGCTCCCTCTCCCTCTCCCTCCAGGTGTCAGCCTGGCACCGCGCTGCCTCCGCACCCGCCGGGCTGACCCAGGGCCCGGCAGCGCTGTGCCGCTGCGCAGGCCGGTGCTTGATTCTCTCGTGAAGTGGCCGGCAAAACGCCTCCTCCCGTTCTGTGTTCGTGGGGACCTGGCCGTTCGTATGTCTGTTGCAGGCAAAGAAATGGGAAGTGCCCTGGGAGTCCTTCTCCCACTGTTGGAATCGGCTGCCGTGGGAGAATGCGGGTTGCTCTGAGTTTTCCAGAAAAGACAGTTCGGTGCCCAGGAATGGCGTCTGTTATCAGTCTGACCTTAGTTGAGAAAAATATATTTTGAATGTTGATCAAAGGGGTTGAGTGTCTTCCTTTGCATTGTGCTTACAGCTGTGTCCGTGTATAGCTCAGGGTTTTTTTTTTTTGCATGTGATTAAAAACAGTTGTGTTCTCCATGGGGAGGAGAAGGAGGAAGTATATTGCAAAATACTGTGTGCAGGAGTGTTTCAATGCAAAGCCTGTGAATAAAATATAGGTACTGGTTTATGACCATAGAGACCATGTATTAATTTATGTGCATAAAGCAGTTTTGGTTCCATATCAATGTGCAAAGAAAGCTTGCGAAGGACCTTGTGTACTATACATGTTTACTGACAGTTACATCAAGAGGTAGAGATATTTAAAGCCCCTTGTCATATAAAACAGATAGATCCTGTCTCATACTTTCTTGAAAGTAGCCAAAGTATCTGAGGAATTAACTACTGGATGTTAAGTGGTGGAGTTCCATATAAGAAAGTGAGGTTCAGAGCTCTGTGGAAGTCCAAGAGTCTTTGAAAGAGTGTGTGTCTGTGTAGAATAGAAATCCCAGGACACTCCTGATCCACAAGCTCCCTTCATGAGAGAGCATTAGGAACACAAGCACCTTGTTTCTAATGATCAGAGTGATGTTAATACTAAGAAGCTGGATTTCAGGGTCCTCTTCCCTGAAGATACATCTGTCCTCCTCACCCTGTTCCTGCTAGGATTTTTGTGGTAAAGTTCTCCGTGGTTTCCTATAGAGTGCTCCTCGGTATAGCGCCTGAGCAGCTTCCAGGAGTGCCCGAAACAGAACGCCTGACATCTGCCATGGGGGTTCAGGCTCTCTTTCCTCTCCCCATGGAGAGATGTATGTGCGATGTGTGCAGTGAAGTGACTTGTTTTGGTAGGGCTCTTCCTTTTTTTTTTTTTTTTTTTTTTTGGCATTTTTGTTTTCCGATTCAATCCCTTTGGCTTTCAGCTCCGGCTTCTGAATCTCAGCATCTGTCAGTGGTGCGATAAATTCTCTTTGGTGATAAGAGAACAGCTGCCAATAGC